CACAAAATTAAAAACACGGAAGTTCAGAGAACAGGGGCAAAGGCACCCAAGTCACATCATTAGAAACCACTCATCTGTTTATAGTTCTCTGGGAAAACCTGAGACTCACATGCTAACAGCTACACTGTAGCTAGAAGTACGAACATCGGAGCTAGCGATAACTTTAAGCACATGAAATATTATGAATTTCATTCCCCCACAGATGTAGCGAACAGGAAGTTAATTAATATAGAAAATCCTAAGGAAATGCAGAAAAACCTAAAATCTTCCATCAATTATAAGTTTTTAAAAAGTAGATTTAACAAAGTAAATGCTATGTTCAGTCAACATAAAAACATTGGATGACTTTTATCATGAAAATTTATGTGTCTATCTCATTACCAGAGATAAACAGAGCAAACAAGAGCTTGAAAGGCTGGTCAACACCAACGACTGCTGGAGACTTGCTCACGAAGACAAGACTCATACACAGCTGTTGGAAAGAACTGAACTTTAAAAATGACGACATCAAATGCTGGTGAGGACATGGAGCAACGGGACTCTCAGGCGGGAATGAACACAGTGCAGGGGGGGGCGGGGGCAGGGGGCAGTGTCTCACAGGGGCCGGGACACACTGACCACCGGTGCAACCACCGCGCTCCACGGTGTTCACACAGGTGACTTGTAAACTTCTGTGTGGAGCTACCCCTACCCGTGCCTATTTATAGCAGCTTTACTCATAGTCGCCCAAGCTGGAGGCCACCTAGACGTCCTTCAAAGGGTGAGCAGTAGCTGAGGAAATTGTGCCACAGCCTACAAAGGAGGATTATTTAGTGACTAAAAAATTTTTTTCTTTCAATCAAGCTACTGAAATACTCGGAGAAACCTTAAATACACAATATGAGTGAAAGAAGCCCGTCTGAGAAAGTTCCCAACAGACACAGATGACGACCAGTGGGTGTTGGGGTCTAGTGTGAGCAGGGAGGGCAGTGGCACCACTATGCAGAAAAGAACGGAATCTCCCCACAGATTTTACAGCCCCCACCCCCAGCTGCGTCACCTTCCTGCTCTTCCAGCTCTGCCTGCACCCTCGTGAGCAGGGCTTCCAGCCTCTTCTGTCGGGCCTCAGCATGCCGTGCTGCTTCCTTCTCTTCTGTTCTTTCGTCTCGAAATACATACAGTCCGGACGGCGTCTTCTCCACCCACTGCAATGGAGGGACAGTCAACATAGCTGCCTGAAGAAAATGACCTGCAGAGCCCCTCGGCCCCGTCATACCTGTACAGGGTACACTCTCTGCACCACCACGTCAACACAGCCGACGTTGCCGCCATCACTGAACAGAGAGGACAAGGGCAGAGAAAATGGTCGGGGATCCTGGAAGAAGCCGAGTCTGGTATACCAGCGAGCCAGCCGTGTGCTGTTAGCAGAGATCTGGAAAAATTAAAGAACAAATCAGCTTAGAAACCAAATATTTAATTCTGACAGGCATCATAAGATTTTTCATGTTATGATGGGATGGTTTCAAAATATTCGCTTCCAAATTTGAGTGGATTCAAGTAAATAATGAATTGGTTCCTAAAATGAAGAGTACCCCCGGGGCAATATCAACCCGCCCACCCCCCATGCTTCATTAGAGTCACCGCAGGGAACAACAGGTCCCACTCACTCTCAACACAGAGACGGGGGTGGGGGTGGGGGCGGTGAGCAGAGGAAGGAGGATCCCGAAAAGGGAACAGCTGAGATGGAACAATGAGATTGTTGATACAGTGTGAAAAATATGACCAAGTCACTGGTCTGTGTACAAACGGTTACATGGCAGCCTCATGTGCTGTTTCTACCAGGACTACAACCACAAAAGGGTTTTCAACATTTCTCAAGGAGGGTGGGGGAAGCCAAAGTGGCATCACCGTGGCCACTCGCTGCGCTGCTAACTGCCAGTGAAGATGCACTTCTGTCAGGGTGGAAGACAGAGGGAGCGATCTCAGAAGGGAGGGGAAGACACTGCCACCGACCAATACACAGGAAGAGAGGAGACACTTAGATGGGTCAATCGAGGAGCCCTACCGCCCGAGAAAAACGAGAGCGAGGGGACAGTCAGAGAATGACCGCACTCCAGCCCCCACAGCTCACGAGGGAGCCAGCGTCTCGGCTGGAAGGGACAAACAAGGCCCGAGCCATAGAACTTTACCAGAAAACTTTGTTCTAGGCCCAGGAGACAGAAAGGGCTTACAGACTGCTTTACATGGGGACACAAAACAAAGGGCTGGGAATGTGCGCACAACCAAACTCAGCAGACTCGAAGTCACAGCTGGAGGAGATTAGAGAAAATGTCTTTCAACAACTGGAAGCTCAGCTTTTCAGAGTCAAATTCGATACTGCACTGACCCACGGGAAGGACACAAAGGGTAACACACTTCCTCTCTCAAGATGCCTGGGGGACCATGTGCCAAGGAGCAGGTCAAGCAAGACAAAAGGCATTTGGAGGAAGTGGGCTTCCACAACAGCAAAGAGCGAGACAGTGTAGGATACAGAATGGGGCAGGAGCCGGGAAAGGCCCAGGAGCTCTCCGAGACAAAGACAGGAAATGGACAAGGGAGGAATCTCATAGATCCTGAGTGGGAACAAGCTAGCAGCAAGGATGCAGAAAATCAAGAAAAACGAAGAAGTGAAGCAGTTAATGACTCCAGCGGGTAGGAGCTGGGGAGGGCTGGAAATGCAATCATAACACAGTGAGCTCAGCTGCAAGCAGCAGTTTTCCTTGTCATTATACTGTGACTGTGAGCATGGTGCAGGGCTGGGCAGTGTTTTAGGTGGGACCCGATGGCACTTGACAACTACTTGGTTTTGGTAAAACAAAAATGACAAGAGCCACCTGGGTAGCCTAAGCAACACTGAGCAAAAGCCAGTCTCAGTGAATATGTTCAGCTATATGCTACGCAGCAGACACCACTGGAGGTTAAATAACTCTATCTTAAAATGTTTGATTCCTAATATATTTTCCCAAATCACTGATCTAAATTCTCTTTTAGATAAATTTAGATCTATGATCTAAATCTCTATGAGACACCGCAAAATGAATCGTAATATGCATTATTATTAATTTCTGAGAGCAACACTGCAGACCCACATGGCGATGTCCTGGTGCGCAGGCTGGGTGAACTGTCTAGCGGAGCGGTGCATTGTAATGCGATGTTCATGAGGGCCTGCAACCAACCCTGCAGTCACTCTGGCACAGGGACCCACAGAGCACTGTCATGAGAACAAGATGGCAGCGTGAGCTATGCATACAAGTGGAACCTGGGCCAGGTTTACTCCTGCCTTCCTCTTGTGATGGCTGCCACCTCTCCCATAAACAGGAGAAACGTTTTTAATTGAATAAAGAATTTACTTTTAACACTAAGGTTTTGTTTTAAAACAAACAGACAACACAGTCGTGGCTGCTGTGTGGATTCTGTTCATAGAGACCCTCCAGGAAGGTCCATCTGCACGGAGCAGACAGCCTCACCTTTCTCCCACGGAGCGATGGCTGGGTTCTAACTGCTGACCCACCTGGTGGTTAGCAGAAAGTTGATAGAAAGCATAGCTTCCTTAGAAGCCACATGGGTGCGCCTGCAGCTTGGGATGGGAAGCCCTCTGGAAGGTCCCTGACTGGAGTGTCCTGGCTCACCTTGAGCAGGAGAGAGGCTGGGGCTTCAAGAGGAGGACAGGCATCCTGAGCGCCCACCAGCTCTGCTCCGTGTGTGATGATCTTGTGGCCCACTGCCAGCCGGCCTGTCTTCAGGAGGGCAGAGAGGGGCGGGTCGAGCTGGGCTCTGAGCGCGTACCAGCCGTCGGTCAGCTCCAGGACGGCCCTGCCCCGGGCATCTGCAAGCCTGGTCTCACCACTCGCTGGCTCAGCAGGAAGCGGGCTGGGCGAGACCACTTCTGAGACGCACAGAACCAGCGTTCTGGCAGAGGTGTCGTCCCTCTCGGTTATCTTCCGTATAGCCGACCTGCCGCTTCTGTCGACCTCCACGTCATAGCTGGGGAGAGAAGACGTGTGGCTCAGGGACGCCAGCCACATCTAATTCACTGGAAAGGGCAGTGAAGACCGAGAATGGAAATGACATCTTTGTCAGACAAAAGCTGAGATGGAAGACCATGGGGTTGAGAACAAGGACAGTGTGAGAGCACTTCATTACGAGGCACTGACCACAGGGCCGCATTAGTGACTCACACCCTTCTCAGACGCTCAGAGGGGAAGCGAGAGCTGAGTGAGTGGAGATGCTCAGTGGGGAGGGTGACTCGGGGTCACCAGCATCGACTGCTGAGTGTCCCTGATGACACAGCTGGAGGGATGTGGGGGTAGGACGGGCACTGGGCACTTGCCGGTACTTTAGCTGGAGCAGCACTCTCTCAGGGTGCAAGCATCTGCTGGCAAATTCCTTGGGGAAGGAGACCTCCATGGCCGCCAGCTTCCACACGATCCATCTGTAGTGGTTGGAGACCCAGGCTTGAGAAATAAGCTGTGGGTCCACGCCAGGGGTGTCACACAGAGCCCTGCAGAGAGAGGAGGAGGACACAACACAAAGCACATCAGGCGACTGTGAACTGAGTGATGAGGAGCTGCCTCCCCCTGCCCCCCACTTCCCGTACCACACAGACCACCCCTACAGGGCACGAAGCCAAGTTCCTCCACACCACTGGTTTTCAGAAAGTGATCTAGTGTGTGCCAACAATTCCCTTGAGCACATTTATCAAGATGACAATTCCAGCGCATGCAGACTTACTCCTGGAAAAGGAGAGTCTTCATTAAAAATTGGATTTTTTAAGGAATTAAGATGATTTGTAGATGCTGGCACTGCATGTTCCCTCTCCAGGGCTTGGCCTCTTGGGCCACCTCTTCCTCACCTCCCTGGGGCCTCTGGGGCCGCCACGCACACACAGTCACTGCGCACTGGCATTCTGCCATCTCTGTGACGGAGGGCAACGCTTGCTTCCCTCTCCTGTGCCCTGTGGACCCTGATCCCCGTCCCACCCCCCACCCCCCCAATACCAGGTGTGCTGGGGCCCCTCCCCGGGGCTCATCAACAGGACGCCTCCCTCCCTGGCCACGTTCTCTATGGACCCAGCTCACGGTACCTATGTTCATGGTACTCATCACCTTCTAGGAACCCAGACCCAGTCCTTTCTGACTCAGTGACCTGCCCCAAAGGGGCAGCTCCATGGTGCAGCTCCACAGGTACTGACAGCTCCACTGTTTGCCCTCAGAGTAGCTGGTGGACACAAACCATCCTCAATACTTAACTCACGGCACCACCAACGGCTCCTGTCACCCTCTCCACACTTTATGTAACTATTTTGTTCACTTTCTGCTGCTCCCCACTCTCAGCCCGCAGCTTCCGGGGCTGGTCCTGCTCCAGGCGCCCCGCGCCCCACCCTGCAGGAGAGCTGTGCTGTTCCACAGGGGTTTCCAGAAGCCAACGGCCAGGCCTCTCTTCACAGGCACCTCTGGTGGACTGAAACCCCCAACCTTTCCGTTAGCAGTGGGGTGCCCAGGGACCCAGCCCTCCTGCCCCACACTGGAATGCAGGGTCCATCAGGCCAGGGGCTTTCCTGAGCGTGGTGGCTTTGGTACGCATAGCACATGGAGCAGTCCCTGGCTGGGACAAATGGTTAACACTCTCGGCTGCCAACTGAAAGACAAAAGGGTGCCAACCACAAAGAGGGGTCTTGGAAGAAAGGCCTGGAGAGCGATTTCTGAAAATAAACAAACAAAACCACAAAAAAACCGCCGGAAAACCCAAGGGGCCGACCGAAACAACCCCCAACCAACCCCAACGAACAGGAGGGACTGAGCCACTGGGCTGGAGGTCTAGGGGTCACCATCCAGGTTAACTCCCCAAAAGACGATGGTCTACATTAGGGGAAGGGGAGCTTTCTTCGGCCTAGGGCCATTTGGATATTCACAACATCATCCACAGGCCACACAGAATGATCAGCTTAAGCATTAGCCCACTCTATCTGTCACGCAGTTAATGACCTCAGCCCCCTGCGAGCTATGTGCTGTTACCGAGGGTTTCATGGGCCCTCTAGGAGGTTGGGGTGGAGCACATGAATGAAGAAAATGTCCTAGAATTGACTGTGGTGACAACTGCAAAAACTCTTTTAAAATATATTTAAACCACTGAGTTGTGTGGTATGTAAATTATATCAATAAAATTTGTAAAAACAGTTTTACTGGCACTTCGTCCACGAGCATAAAACAGTTCCATCATATCAAAAAGACCTGCACCGTCCGCACCGCCGTTTCAGAACATTTTCTTCTTCCTTGTCCTCACTGTTATTCGTGTCACTGTTTTCCTTCAATTGAGGCAAAAACATACAAAACTACACATTCTCCAAGTCAGCAACTTCCACCTGCACAGCTCTGTGCCACTGACTGTGCTCTTCATGTGGCACATGCGTGATCGGTGTCAACAGCACTGTTTAGATTCTGACGAGGAGATGGCATTGGCCTCAGAGCGGCCTATGGGAGCCCCGTCCCCTGGGTGGCTGTGAGCGGGCAGCCATGCCACATCAACAGGAGCATCCTGAAGACCAGATGGTGGCATGGTTTGGGGGGCGGAAGGAGGAACAGGACCACAGGGCCAAGCCAAACCCAACATTCCTCACCAGTCTTCATTTTGTAAACACAACAGAAAATTGTCCCGAGTTAAGAAAAAACCTCAGTGCATTAATTCCAAGACAAATCATAATTCACCTTTTAAAAGATCTCAACAGACTGCTTCTTGCCCATCACGCATTGGAGATGACAGGATGTCTACAAAGTTCGACTCACATCATTTTTTTTAGCTCAAAAGCACTAGTGGAAGATTGGTGTTGTAGCTACATAATTCGGTGTCAACATCAAGTGTAGGGGTGGATTCTAGCCTGTCAACCAAGTCACAGCCTGATGGTGCCTCCTTGTGGGCACGACCTCCTCATAAAGAGGGTCCTATAAGCCGGCCCTCCACCCCCCATTTCAGCTTCACCTTCCTGTGGGCGAGCCACTGAGACGCACCCAGGACTCATCAGAGCCCTGGAGGCGCATCCACCGCCATTGGATCCACGGCCTTTTCAGCCACTGGCTTGTGCTCTTCGTGCATTCTGCATCATTGCTTGTGGCTGTGTGAGTCTGAAGAGGGATGTATGGACTAGTACTGGAGGGGCTGGGATCTTCTCCTGATATATAACTACTTCTTGATCTAAAAGCTCTGTCTTACACATACGAGTATCCCTGGATTTGTTTCTCTAGTCATCCTGGACTAACACAAGAGGACAGAGGGAGGGGTGGGGTGGGCTATCTCGAGCACACCTACCTGTAGAATTCTTCTTTTCCAGCATGTCCGCTGTTGGAGGGGATGAGCCACCCACCATCAGCCAGCTGGATTCCCTTTCCAGCCCAGGCTTCCTTTCCAAAATAGTCCTGAGCACGAAACCGAAAGGCTGCAGCATTCCTGCTGCTGATCTGTGCACAGTGCGTAGGGACGCCGCACACATACAGCTGCTCAAAGAGAAGCAGAGGAAAGTTGGCGATGGGACGGAAAACAAAAACATCAAAGAACACAGACACATTCCATATGACAGAAACTCAGCTATAAAAGCCCAATAGAATTCACAAAGCATTTTTCATTTAAATATGAAAATACTACAAAATTATTTGTTAATGAAATTCAACGGACTTTCTTATCAATGAGTGGCAGCTTTTTCATTCCCTGGACTGCAGGTGCTTCCTGCTATCTCCATCAAGGGAAGCCATCGAAGGACAGAAACCAGACGGACAGTTTTAAGAGAAAACTTTCAAGTTCAAAAGCTTAGCAAGGAGAGGACAGTGAAGAGAAGAGTAGCAGTATCTTAGGGAGATCACTGTGGGGTGGCCCCCCCGGGGCTGGCCCTTTTCCAGGTGGGTGCTTATGTTTGCCTCAAGGGGCCCTGGTGCGCCAACCCAAAGGCCCTGTGATCTATCTGCTCCTATAAGGCTGACAGCCTCAGAAACTGTGAGGTGAACTGACTTAGTACCAACGTTCACTGGGCTCTCTCTATAAGCCCAAGATTCCCGTTCCTTTGTTCTGAGCTGGAAGGCAGCCAGAGTCCAGCTCCTGGCTTCAGAACCTTGGTTCTCCCATCCCTAGTTGGTGGACCTGGAAAACCAAAAATGAGCCTGCTCTGATTCTGAGATTCATTGATACAATGCCACACAACATAGTGGTGATTGCAGATTCCATACACATGTATTTTTAAGTTGTGGATTAGGTGTGGGTTTACATTTCAGATAATTAATTTTGTGCTCAACAACTTAAAACTAGCTATGAACACCCACCCCACACACATACCCTAATAGCTTGCCCTGCCCATCCCCCTCTGACATCTCACTCTCCCCTTCACCCAAGTTAACACCTGTCTACTGTGAGGCTTCCTGTGAGGGGACTGTAAGGATTAGAAGTGTGTCCAGTAGGTAAAGCAGTGACTATGTCATCCCTCATGCCTAAACCCCCTGTCACACTGGGTCTGCAAGAGCTGGTGCTTCAGAACGGAGTACGCTCGTGGAGGGCAGGGATGTGCTGACGGTGAAGCACTGCCTGGGGTAGAAGCAGGTGGGTAAATGCAGGCAGGGGTCCGCCTCTGACGTCCACCAGCCTCTAGCACAGGGAGCTCCGTCCTGCAGAGCTGCTGGGAGAGCTCAACTGCGGAGTGCCTAACCACTGCACCCCAGGGCTCCTTACTGTAATGATCTCCCATTCCTGCTGCCTCTATCACAGCCCGCAGCAAGCCCGTGGACGGAGTAGAACTGCTCCTGTGGGTTCCCACATTCATTTGGCCTACTGTCTCCTTTTCGGGGGGGTGGGGGTGGGGAAGGCTCTGTTGCGCCCTGGCAAGGAAAACCTTTTGTACTCTAGCCATCACCCAGGACATAGAGTAGGTGTCTGCTTTCGGTAGTCCCCCGGATTGTCCCAGCACCCCGGGGTTCACACTGTTGAGGTTCTGAAGGCCCTGTGGGCAGAGCATACCTGTTCTGGGGAACAGGCAGCAGGAGCCCGGCCTTCCACAGCTGCTCTGAGAGAGACTCTGGGCACGGAGGACGTTTTTGCCAGGTACAGGCTGCCTGGCTGAGGGCACACACGCTGCTGCTGTTTCATCCTGATCCGGGCCTCCTGGGCGTCTCGAGCGATCTGGAGACTCGCAAGGACATCTGTGAGAGAGTGAGCAGTCAGCCAACAACCGGGGACAGGAACCTGTCAGCCTAACTGGTGCCTGCTCTGTATTTTGCTCGCACACATCCATTTTCTTTCATTTGAAATGCCGCCTCCCCTTTTAAGGCTGCAGGGATGCAAAGAGTTTCCCAGCTTGTAAAGCTGGCTGAGGAATAAAAATAGATGAATGGTTTTTAGCTTAAACTTGGAAGAAGTAGTAGTAGTAGTAGCCCACCTAGCTGTCCTTAGCTTGTAGCTCGATGCTTACCTTCCACAAGCGGTTATTTTGGGAAACAGAATGTAACCTGGCTTTGGTCTTAGCAAAATCCTCAGCCTTGAGGAGATTCCGAGCTTATTGCATGAGAGAGATACCTAACCCAAAAAGCAGAATCTTAACACAGAAATTCTTATACAATACCTAACGGCTCTCCTTCATGCGTGCTGAAAGTGACGGCGGCAGCTTGACTGGAGTCCTTCTGGTCAAGTGGGTAGATTCCACCTCCACTCATGCTGGCACCGGCACCGGCACCAGGTACAGCCAAGTTCTTCTGTGGGTGCTCGTTTTCGTCCACATCGACATTCCCGGCAGCACACTGCTCCTTTTTTTGAAAATGTGCTTTCGTTTTGAAAGGTGGAACAAAGACTTTCACTGGTCTACCTGCACTAACTGCGGCTCTGGCTCCATCCCTTCCTGAAACAGGGGCTCGATGAAGCGGCTCTCCTGAAACGGATACACTGCTGGATGGCTTTTCCAAAGCTGAGTGTCCCAAAACATGGCTTCTGGGGAGAAACTGCTGCCCGGGTGCTGTAAAACTTGGGGTTCGGATTTCTGGCCGTTCTTTGGTTGTGCTGAAAGGGGGGGAAACAATATTTTAAGTTTGACTATTCATTACTCGTGCTTGATAAACAACAGGGTCAGCAAAAAGGAGGAAGACCCTTAAGGTGATGACTGACACAGTGGCCACAGCAATAGGCAGCGTTTGTAGTGCTGTGTGTGGCTGCTATGGTGGGAACCAACCCAGCAGCCTTGACGACACTCATGAGCAGATGTGCACACTTAAACACCTAGGGACATGCCTTTTCTCAGACCCGTGAAGCCACCTGGTAGCTGTATTTTATTGGCAGTTGTGCCATCAAACCAACATCACAGGTTCTAAAGTTTGGAACCACGTTTTCGCCCCTCCTCTGAGCTCTGACGCTACCAACTTCTATTCATTTTTAGCCAAGCACCTGAGACTAATCAAACGTTTAGGGTGATAGGGGCAGCACTTACCCAAGGACAAAGTTCAGAAGGCAAGAAGGAATGGTGAGCGGAAACACAGGGGAGAGGCATGCTGGGTAATAAATACTACACTGAGGGGAATGCAGTGAATGAGATGAAGCAGAAAGTACATGAATTATTACGTCATGAAACTGATCAGGAGCTCTGTACATTCATAACAGCGTTAAAAAAGAGAAATAGCCACACTATTCCTGTCACACTGTAATAATAATAAACATTAAAGATGCCTTACCAAAACGGTACACAGGTAATTGGATTTAAGGAAATGTGGTGCATAAATAATCTTCTATCTTTCATTGTGCCTAGAAAAATAATTGTTATATATTATTAATAATCCAATTGGATGCTTTCTTTCCTAAATCAATTGATTACACATGTTGCTATATTTAAACAACAAATTTAGAGACAGTTGTACACATTTTATAGTTTCAATGCACCTAAGGGTTGCTCAGTAAATAGCTAACAAAATCAATCTTAGATTCACAAACTGAGAACAACTATGTATCTACATAACTCACAGGAAAACATAACAAAAAATCCAGCATAAATTAAACAAAAAATTAGCATACATTCTGCCTAGGAAGAGAAAACTATTTAAAATAGTAGCCTACAGTGAGCAAAGGGACCATGGCAGTACCGTGGTTAGAGCGCTTGGCTGTCACTAATGAGTGACATAAGCCTACCAGCTATTCTGTGGGGAAAGTGTGGCCGTCTCCTTCTGTATAGATTTAGTTTTGGAAACCTTTTTTTTTTTTTTAAATTTCTTTAAACCTTTTTATTGTCATATAGTCCAGTCTCCATGGGAGCAGGAATGTGTGACAAATTAGTTTTGGAAACCTTAAGGAGGCACAAACCAAACTCAATGTCATCTAATTAATTCCAAATCATAACAAAATCATAGGCTTTCTGAGGTTGTAAATCTTCACGGAAGCAGATACTATCAGCTCTCTCGCAAGAAGCAGTCTGTGGGTTTGAACTGCAGACTGTGGTGAGTCCAGTGCTCAATCTGTCAGCACCACCAGGTTTTCTTGCTCTGTCCTGTAGGGTCCTTTAAAGTCAGAATCTACTCAACGGCGTGGGTTACAATGAGCGAGAAATGGAGAAGTGGTAAACAGGAAGGTGTGTTGGTGGGGTAGTAGTTGCAGTTTTGTCATTGGTTACGGTTTCAAAACCACAAAGTCAGTAGAGAAAAAAGAAGTACATGCAGTTTTCTGAACATTTAACCCACACCAAACATTCACCAACACAACTTCTTCATTTACAATCTGACGAAGCTGACTTCTTGCCTGTTGGGCCACCACATTGCTATCCTTTTCCAAAGTATCTCACCACTGTCCCCATCAACTCAATGTCCCTAACAGCCCATTCTGTGTTCCAGGCACCCTCTGGTCTCCTCCAGTAAATGGGAGATTCAACAGCAGCGTGTCCCAAAGTGGAAAATACTGCTCCCAGTGGGGCAGTGCTAGAATGATCCAGGGAGCGATGAAAGTAGATACCTACACTTGATCTGAGATGATGGGCTATAGCACAAGCGTTTTTAATTGCCAGGGGGCTGCCGAGTAATTTATTTGTTTTTTCTAGAGCGGATGGTAGGCCAAATTCAGTTTGGGAATCTGTGCATTAGAGAATTCCAAAATGCACTTGATTTCTTGTTTTAAAATTCAGCTTCTATTAAAAACCAAAACTAAACACTGCTGTTATGTTGGTGCCGATTCAAAGTGACCCTGTAGGACAAAATAGAACTGCCCCAAAGGGTTTCTAAGGCTGTCATCTTTACGGAACTGGACTGCTACATCTTTCTCCAGCAGAGCGGCTGGTGGGTTTGAACTGCCAACCTTTTAGTTAGTAGACCAACACTTAACCCACTGTGCCACCAGGGCCCCTAAGCCTCTGTCTTTTAATATAATTGCCCTCTATTTGAACTTTTCTGACATATACTCTTCTATTTCTGTTCTTTTAATTATTATTTACAAGTAGTCCATGGTAAGAATGTTGGCTGTCAGTGTTAATGAGACAGGTGCCTGTGGTACTGGACGCAGCCCAGTGACATGGTCTGAGCTGTAGAAGAACAATAATTCAGGCAGCTAAAGGGAGGGAGGGGCAAAGACAAAGGCAAAAGTGGGAGCTGGATTAGGGGCCAGGCAAGAGACTAGGCAGAGGGCAGATGTGAACAGAAATGACCTGATTCTGGGCACAGTGTGAAGGCGGGCCTTATAGGATGTACTGATGGACTGGATGTGAGCTGTGAGGACGCAGAAAAGTAAAGGACAGGATGTGGTCACCTGGCTGGGTAGTACATGCTCCTGAAGAGAAAAGAAAGACACCCGCTTATGTAGGTTCAGGGCTGGGATGGAATCAGCTCAGTACTGGCTACTCCACGCAGAAGCATCAAGTCAGCAAGTGACTGACTAAGCCTGTAGTTCTAGTGCAGCCGTCAAGCTCCCAGACCCTGGGGCTTAGGTGGGGCAGAGCTCTGGGGACTGAGCTCTCTCGTTGTGTGCCGTGGTGTCAATCCAGAGTCACACTGACCCTGTAGGACCTAGAGAACTGGCCCACAGGGCCAAGGCTACAGAAGCAGATGGTCACATCTTTCTCTTACAGAGCTGCTGGTAGGTTTGAACTGCCAAACTTCTGGTTAGCAGTTGAGTGCCAAACTATTAGATCGCCAGGGCTTCTCACTTCGATGCAACAGAAAGAAGGCTGGGCCACCAAAGACGACCGAGAGGAGTTGCAGCGATGCAAGCGGAGAGCCAGGAGGACACGGGAGGCTGGAGAACAGCAGCCAATGAAGACTGAGTGTGTCTTCCAGGCCCGTTGATGTGGAGGTGCTGCTGTGACCTGTGGTGACACCTGTGGTGACAAAGGGCATTTTCGGGGTCTGGTGATGTAGAGGTGGTAGTGTAGTCTGCTCAGGGAAGAGTGGTTTGGTCAATGGTGGGGGACGAAAGCTTGCCTGGGTTCTAGGATCCAGGCTTTTACTACACTAAGTTTTCATCAAATGCTTATAGCTTTACACAAAAATAACCCCCAAATGACATTATTTTAGAAGCACTTCACATCTCCTACTTGTGGAGTAACTTTGGGCCCTACTAGGCATTACAAAGAAAGTTCATTTAAGAAAGCAGGCAAGATTTAAGTTCAATAATTAAACTACAAGGAAATTAACATGTTTTCCAATTACACATACATCCCAAAGCGATGAGAAAGATAACTTCATGAATACTATGTAGACTACCTCTAGGCAGAGGAGGGGTAAGGATAACGGGCAAATTTTACCATCTGGAGTGCTTTTTGAAGCTTGTCGGGACTTCTCTTGTTTTTCTGCTATCCTGTCAAATTCATTTAACAGGCTTCGTTTGGTCGGAGGTTCTCCTATAAAAATATTTCCACATTTTTAAAGCAAATATTAAAAAAAAGAAGCAATTAATAGCCATTTCATTTGTAAAAGCCTGTCATTGGCACTCATTGTTCCGTTGGCTGAAACTCGCGGTGCCGTGTGTGGACAGGGTGGAACTGTTCCACAGGACTTTCAGGGCGGTGACCTTTCAAAACCACCTATTCAGGCCTGTCCTCCGAGGTGCACCAGGGGAGTTTGAACCACCAAACTTTTAAGTCAGCAATTGAGCACCTCACAATGTGTGCCAACCTGGACTACAGTCGTCTTAAAAATTAAAGCACTACCATTTATTATATGTTAAATAATACATAACAATTACAATTTGCAGTGACCATTTTCTGAAAGGGAATATTTATTTGACAATATCGCTTTAATTTCTGACCATTTTCTGAAAGGGAATATTTATTTGAAAATATCGCTTTAATTTCTAGTATTTTGTGATGACTTAAAATATTTAATAGGATCTAGGGATAAACAGTGGGTGGCCCAAAGGTTGAATGCTTGGCTGATAACCAGAAGACTGGAGATTTGAGTCCCGTGAAAGGCACCTTACAGCAGTGGTTCTCACCTTCCTCATGCCGCGGCCCTTTCATACCGTGTCCAACCATAAACTTATTTTTGTTGCTATTTCATCACTTTCATTTTGCTACTGTTATGGATTGGGCCACCCCTGTAGAAGGATCGCTCGACCTCCAAAGGGTTCAAGAACCAGAGGTTGAGAACCACTGCCTAGGCCCTTGAGTTAGTCACTGAGGAGAACAGGTTTTTTGAATTACCAAATTACATAAAAATAGCAAAATGAACACCTCTGGCTTAAACACTCTATAAAGCTGAGAGAATAAAATGGAACCATAACTTAGATCATAAATGTTCAGGTCCTACTGAGATTAATACATGAGACAAGCGCTTTTCTTTCTTATGCTTATTACAGGGAGTGGATTTAGAGAGCTTAATGAGTAAAACTGTTGGCGAAAGGCTTTCATCGGGTGGTAGGTGATCCAACTGTTTAAAGACCTATAAAGTCCAAATAACGAGACCCGACTAAGCTAAGTGCTACGTTGGTGTGGTAATGAGTCTTCCATTTAAGTAAAGATGCCTTTGAGAACATTTTGAAGGATGAGGTGTTTGCCCCTCACTCCCACCCCTCCTGCCGGAAGACGAGTCTACTTCTGTATTTCAAATTCTGTTCTAGAGAACAGAAACGTTCATGGTAAGCCGTATAAACGTACCATTGTGAATGCTCCCAGAGGAAACAGCTTAGAGTATCATTAGGTGTGACCCCTCACACAGCAGAACAAAGCACTGCTCGCCCGCCCAGTCACTGCCCATCGCACGAGGGGTTCCCTCTTCTCACTGATTCGTACTTGACCCAGCACAATAGCCTTCTCCAGTTCTCTTAATAACATGTCCAAAGTGAGATAAAGTGTTGCCATTCTCATTCCTAAGGACTATTCTGGCTGTACTGCTTCTAACACAGATCAGTTCTTTGACCTGGATAGCACCTAAGTAAACTGCACCTGCCAGGCTAACTCTAAGGGCAAAGGTACCAAGTGGAGGAATGAACGGATTGGCCTGGTTTTCTGTAATATGAAGGGACTGGTCAAGAGACTTCTGATAAAACAGAGTCCACGGCATCTTAGAAGCAGGTAGGTATTTAAGGTTTTAATCTGTCTGGTCCTTAGAAGAGAGGATGGTGAAACTACATGAGTCACGCTCTTTGGACATGCCATCAGGAACGGCCAATTGTTAGAAGAGGACATCACGTTTGGTAGAGAGCACGGCCAATGGAAACAAGGGAAACCTTGAGATGGATCAATACAAAGTGGTTAACAGTGGATTATTCAAGGATACCAAAAATCACACTGATGGCCCAGCACTAGAAATGCCTTGTTTCATGTTAGGTCAACATGAGTCAGGAGCAGCCACTATGTTTTCAGTGACTTTTAATCTAAGAAGTTCATCTTCAGCTCTATATTGAACACTATTCTGTTGTGATCTATTGGCTTTCCATCAGCTAGTTTTTGGGAGATTTCTAGGCATCTGTTCTTTAACTGCTAGATAGCAGTTTGTACTGACTTGCAAACCAAAGGGTGGAGGGTGGGAAACTTACCAGCTGAGACAAGTGTATTTCTTCTTTTCCCCGTTCTTGAATTTAATACAACTGTTTCCTTGGGTTCTGTGCAGGTAAACTGAGAATGTTTGGCATGACTTGGCAGTTCCAAGTCTGTTAGTTCATCATCTTCCATAAAAGCTTTGGCAATCTCTACTGCTTCTGTTTCAAAATAACCTTCTGGATCTTTGGAGCAAGCAGAAGTAACTTCCACGGGTTTTTTCATGGGAATGTTAGAAAAAGTTGGGGCATTATCAATTTTCATTTTTACTTGTCTAAGCAAAGTCTGTTCTTTCCCCAAAGGACGGCTCTTTTCAACAAGCGAGGCTTTGGTTTCCAACGGGCTTTCTGAAGAACCCCTTTCAATATTTAACAACTGGAATTCTGTCTTACAGGTTTTTCTCACTTCTTTGGAGTTCGTGGGTTCTTTGGGAATGTTCTCAACAGAAGGCAGTGGGAGTATGTTTGATGCAGCTGATATAAATGGAGGTGACTGAGGATTATATTCAGCTGTGATTAGATCAAACTCCTCTAACATTCCCTTAACTTTGTATAAGGCACTTTCAGAAATTAAAACCTGCTTTCCACTTGCTGTACTAAAACCAGCAGCAGCAGATACGCTCACCACCTTTGAAGGGAAGCTTTCGGGGCGTGGCGGTGACTTGGCTTTGGTGTGTATCCCATGGCCTTTGTCTCCTGTGACCTTGTTTGAATGTTCTTCACGACTTTTAAAGGATGCTTTGGAAACAAGATGCTCGGCATGATTTTCTAGCTCTGAAAACACCTGTCTTGCCTTTTGCAATGAAGCATCTGACACCTGTACAGATTTTCCACTTGCGGTGCTAAAAATCCCACAAACATTTGAAGAAGTTGACTTGGGAAGAGTCCCAATACTAAATTTACATACATCAGACATTTTCCCATTAACCTCAGCAGGTAGTAGTTCAGAAACCCTATCCAATGCAGACATCTGCTGGTTATGAGGTGAACTTGGTTCACTTTGAGCAGCATCCAAAACCTTATGGACAGCACAACCTTCATCTAGAATGCTAGGAAAGACATCATCTTCTGAATTATCTAACGCTTTACGACAGGAGCCTCCTACAATTCCTGTTTTGTAACTGTCTGATTGTCTCTCAGTGTTTGGTTTAACCACCTCACTGCTGTTGTCTACAAGTATCTCCCTAGCTCTTTCTATTGCCTTGCGTGAAATGGAGACTCTTTTACCACTTGCTGTACTGAATGCAGGTGGCCCGACTTCAAAATTACTGGAACCAGACATGGCAAATCCAATGGCTGCATTTTCACTTGTGCAGGGAGCGTCAGTCCTAAGTTTCTGCACACAAACGTTTTCATTTACAGTTTGTGGGGGCGTGCGTGCTTTTTTGGCAGTAGCTGTTACTTCAGAGATACTAGTAGTGCATTCTCTATTTCTGATGTTCTTCATGACGGGCTCGATACCAGAGCAGTCAATTTTAGAGAGAGATCCTGATTTATTACGTACTTCATTAGAATGACAAAAATCAGAACTGTATGAATTGTTACTTAAGTAACTTAAATTTTGCTTGTCGCTTTCTGTTATGACGGGATTTGAACTACTTCCATATGGAGGATTTCCTACCCAATCCTGAGGGCATGCTTTTAAACAAATGGCCTTAGCAGTACTTATGTCTACTGGTTGATCTTCCGATTCCCCTTCTCTAAGCCATTTTTTTGCTTCAAACAGTGATGCCTGACTCACAGAAATTTTCCTACCACGTCCTGTGCAAAATGCGAAAGCTGGATTTTCACTGGCAGCGCAACACATTGTAGGGCTTTTTGCTGTTTCTTTTTCTAAATTTTGATGTACTTCAACTTTCAAAGAAATACTATTGGATGTTTTAAGACTTTTAGTGTGTCTATTGAAAGGTTCATTTAAGAGTCCTGTAGTCTCATTGGAAATAAAGTTTCTCTCATGATCATGTAGCAGATTCTTTTCTTCAGACTTTGGGAGGGTTGTTACCTCAACGGTCTCTAATTGAAGCCCTTCAGTATATTCCCTGGTCTCCTTTAGTGTCTTTGTCCCTTGGGAGTGAAAACTGAAGATTTTACTTGTATCATCATCTT